ACATCTCAGTCCTTCCCGTGACCATGGGTGCTGTAAAGCTCTCGAAACGTCGGGTAAAAAAAAAATAAAAAAAAGTTAAATATACGCGATAAATTCCGTAAAAAATTAGTATTATTTCAATATTAGTCAATTTTTACCATCCATCAAATGCAATATTCCTCTACAAGATGCAAGTGTGTACAAGCTAGATTGTGAATGTGGTCTCTTTTACATAGGTCAAACAAAAAGATCTATTAAAACCCGCGTGGACGAACATATAGCCGACGTGAAGCACCGACGCTCCGGGAAGTCTGCAGTCTGCGAACATGTTCAAGATCATCCCCACCATTACATTAGATTTGATAAACCACAAATCCTCGCAAAAGAACACCGATTCCTACCAAGGATGATACGCTAGGCTATTGAAATTAAAAAACATCCAAATTTCAATAGAGAAGATGGATGGGTGCTGCCAGCTGCTTGGGATCCTATAATTTACAAAATTAAACCCAAACCCAAGCATACCACTGCAAGACTTCATAATACTATAAGCTCATTTTGTGTAAATCGGACCAAAAATTAATATTCAAAAACTGAAGGTAGCTGGACTATGACATTGGGACATCAAACATCTCAGTCCCCCCCATGACCACAGGTGCTGTAAAGCACCCGAAACATCGGGATAATAAAAATAAATTAAAGTTGAATTAAATGGGATAAAATCCGTAAATAATAGTTTTATTCAATAACCAAAAGGTCATCGAGGTTCTTATATATACTAGCCATATTTTGCGTACAATAAATAGATTATTACGGAAGGAACCCAACCCATGGTAAGTTAAATCTTCTATATTACATTTAATCGAGTGTGTTATTTGCATGCAGTCTAGTTTTTGGTTAGTGAGCTGGCTATCCATTTAAAAAAGAGTAAGTACCAAGTAAGTTACTGCAGAGGTTAATAAATAGTAAAAGTAGACACTAGAATAGGTAGATTTCATCAATGAGAGTAGGTTGTTAACCTTGTAGTATGTAAGAGTGAATGGTTGTTGTAGTATGTTATGTGCTTGTACTGTGGGTGTAGTTTTTTGTAAATGTGTAAATAACATGTTTATGAGGTGTGAGCGTGTGGTATTGTATGTAGGTGTGTTTGGTTGTTGTAGTTTGTTTACAGTTTTTGAGACCAGAGGTATATGTGTGCAAATGAAAGATGCGCTAACAGGAGATGCAACAGTTTACAACAGTTATCTTACCAAGAACAATATAATAATATGCATATTGAATAAAGCAGAGAGAAGTCGCCACTGGATTGTTTGAATATAGTCATTTTTGTTGAAGAAGTTGGTGCACCTGTGCCTTGCTCTGGATGCATATAATTTTAGAATTTTCTCACAAAAACTCTTCCAAACGCAGTCCAGCAGTATCTATACCCATTGGATTTGTCGAGATCAACAATCATTTTTACGTTTCAAATGTCGCCTAAAATCGAATGAATTATTTAATAGACTTCAAATGCCATTTATGCTTAAAGGACCTTCTACGGCAACTGTGTACCACTGGTATAACAAATTTCAGCATGGTTAAATAACTTTAAGAAATGAAGAAAAGCGTCACCCTTTGACAGCTGTTACAGATGAAAACAAGCTACAAGTGAATAAATTTATTGAAAAGATTTAAAAGTAAATTACAAAATGAAGAAATTTAGCACATATTGCAGATGAGGTTGCAAAGCGTTTACCAGATTTACTCGCGTGAACTCCTTTGCGTGCGAAGGATTGTTTCGCGTTGAGTAAAATAAATCACCTGAGAGGGATACATATTCAGTATTACTTAGTCGAGTACCGAAATAAACAAACATCTGTGGCGGCGCTGTCGTCGCGCCGCAAAGCGAAACACACCGAAGCTTAAAACACGCTATCAACATTCCGAATCATAAACAGCATATATAGAACATCTCCGAACTATCACACGGAGTGTGAGCCGCTCCCCGGGCAGAACACCTTGAGAGATCTCCCCTTTTCGTTCCACGGCCACAGTGGGGACCCCGACGTGATCTGAACACACAACCAACAACCTTCGGAAGCTACAACTTCAACCCTTCGGTATTATCCTATCCTAGGGACAATATTTTATGCATGCACACCGCTTGCAACTTTATAAGGCTTCGGCCTTACACAGGAATACTGTTTTCATCTCTATGCCGGGGCACTCCAGTGCGAGCTCCTTTGAATTGATCGCATCCAGTGCAGAGCAGCTGGAACGGTTGACAACCAAGTTTTTTCTGATCAGCTTGACTCACTGTGCTAAAGAGATGTTGCATCTCTTTGCATATTCTACCGCATCTACCATGGGGAGTGCGCCGAATGGTTCGGACTGATTCTAGCTGTTAAATTTCTGCATTTTGCATACTATCTGGATAATTTACGATCTACCACTGTACGATTAATTAACCACCACCATCCACTACTACTAGTGATTTTTCCTGACTTTTCGCCTGTCTGGGTATAATTCCATCTATCAGTAGTCACAAAGTCTTTCTGAAATTTTCCATTGCCCCTTACAACCCTCATGGTACGAAATGGAGATCACTCCACTACTCTGCCAAAAAAATAATCTCATAGACAATAAATTTTTTGGGCCGAGTAATGGTAATTTGGCTCTCACTTTGTTTGATTACCTCTAGCTCAAATGAAGTAAGTTGCAATCTTAAGTACTTAGTAATTTACCAAGGCACATAATGTGTGTGTAATATTTCAAGTTCTTCCAAAGTCTTACAAGAAGCAGAATAGTAGCCTTTCTTCCTTGATCCTAAATCCTTTCAGAAATGAGAGGTCTGTACCCACCAGTTTTACTTTACTTTTATAGTTTAGACTGATTGAACATTGGTAGACTTTTAACATAAATATAGCTGAAACTTTGAAAAGTCTTAAGACACGAACATATCTACTTGCAGAACAAAATCCTCTCAAGCAATAGTAGTATATATGTTTTTACTTTAAAGCCCCTGCACAATGCCAATCTGAGAAGTTTGGATCTAACATGATTTTTCTAGCTTATAAGAAATCATCTTTCTCATAATTCAAAAGGCAGGATTATTACTTAACTAAGGCCTGTATAATAAAATGAACCAACCGATAAATAGATATGAATAATCATAACAAAACTGAACTTTGGCTAAATATTTTTGAAGCTAATAAAAATTATAATGAACATCTGGAAATATTTCTTACCATTCCTAAAACAATAACAAAAATTTATCCATTATTTGAACCAAAATCAGAGGTTTAATCATTAAAAAATAAAGGATATCAAAATATAAAAGAAACTTTTCTTCTTCTTAGCACTTAAAATAGTTTAAATTCAATCTTACTAACTAGTAAAAGTTTTTCACTTACAGCAAAAATTGTGTTTTGTAGCCCAAATGGTATTGGAGTCAGTCTCGCAAAGAAAACAATTTTAAACGCCTGAGGTCCAGAAATAACTTTGAGCAATGCTCTCGCAGTCTCATTTTTAAGGAGCCGATCCAAGGGAAGGTAACCTCGGAGCAACTTAAGAGTAAAATGAGCAACTGCCACTCCGAAGTTTGCACTCACCACCACCGTTCCCAACCCTTTCAGTATCCCAAATAAATATCCACTCGTTATTATTAACACTAGGTACCCAATGGTCACCGGAAAACTCACTATCAAAAACAAACCCATAAATAGTAAAAATATTATCTTTGGGTCTTGCAAATTTACCCAATATAATATAGTTTTAAGGTATTCTTTGAAGAAATATAGCACTAACACTAAACAGGTAAGTAACAAAATAGAAATAACAATGTTAATTAAATAGCTATACGTCGTCCTATTATTAATCTTAGCCCACAAACTTTTCTTTCTACTAGTTGATGTATCCGGCTGACATTCTTCAATGTCTACTAGTTCCATGGTGGTTTTAGTTGAAAAGAAAACACAAATCTACTTATTTCACGCTAAGAAGCGAAATATCACATGATTTAACGTACCGACGCCATGGCCCAGTTTTCAAGACTGTTTATTATTTTTTGACATTGGACATCGTCAAATTGACAAATTGATCAGAGCTGCCAACAAACCAATAAGCTCTGCCAACCTGCCAACTTAATTTTGTTTGTGGATTTTTTTGGACTTTTTGTAAGTTTTGTCAAGGGTGAATCCCATACAACTTTATTATTTGTGGTGAATCCTGAGATTCAACATATTCACTTGATTCCTAAGGCTAAAATGTGTTTATAATTTTATGTAACATAAAATTATAAACACATTTTACGAACAGGCATCACTGTTGGTCAGATGGTTCCTAAAATATAGCATTTTAATTATTTTGGCCAGTGGAATCAATAACGGCGACAAGGGAATCAAAATCAAAACAAGATACATAAGAAAATTAAATAAAAATTTACGAAGTTAATTAAAAAATATATAGAACTAATCAGTCTTTTGGTTGCAGAAATTGGCACTTTTGGGCTTTGTTTGCGAGATGAACATTAAGATATTCATATAAGTTGTTCATATTGATAAAATTTGTAGTTTTCAAATAACACGCAGGCAAGTCACGCTAATTAATAATAATAAATGATTTTAATCGATAAGACGGGTAAAAAATAAATAAATATGTAAGAAATAATACGAAATGATGGGGCTACTAGCACATGTGTCGTTTAGAAACAAAACTGGTCAAATCCAAAATAAAGACTTTTTTACTGAGCACGCCATTTTTTTTCTATATAAAATGTATCTTTTATCAGTTTCAAAAAGAGTCTAATCCTAAGCAGTTCGTAGAAAAATCGATTCAAATCGACTGATCGTATCAAAAACAGTCAAATCCTTTTAAGCTTAGAAACAAAATCGGTCTAATCCGTGCAACCAATCAGAAGCCAGAACTATGTATGAAAATGACAGCCGACCGGCGGCCATCGTGTGGCGTTTTGTGTAGCTTAACGGGAGCGCAGTATTCTCGTTTCCGTTTTTAATTAAAAATTGGTGTTTATTCACAATAAAATGGATAATGTAATACAGGAAACTAATCCCCAGTTATCACGAAAGAGGACACAACAAAAAGAGAATTGGAAATGCAATAAAATGAAGAAGGAAAGGTAAGTTTGGTATTGCTTTGATAACCTCATGCTGCCTCGTGGTCAGGGGTGCTAAACTCATGGTCAGTTCGTGTGTAAATTTTTCTTGTAGTTGTTTTTTATTTCCAAGATAAATTATATGTCTTAGATTCGTCTTGATAACGCAAGCGTTTAAGTATAACCATATTCCATGTCTAACTAATCCCTACTAATATAATAAATGCGTAAGTGTCTGTCTGTTACGCTTTCACGCCTAAACTACTGATCTGATTTTAATGAAATGTGGTACAGAGATAGACGGATATAAAATTATACTAAATACATACATATTATATTTAAATAACTACAAAAAATTAAAGGTAGGTAGCTATAATAAATGTAACATATGAATACTTATTTTTAAAATATTTATAATTTTTATTATTTCAGGTATGCTCCGAAAGAGCCACCAAATTTAAGAATTCCATGTAATCACTATGCAAAAGCATACAGGTGCACTTCATTGAGTCATGCCGATATAATAGCATTTAATAGACGTTTCTACAAAAAAACCGGACAAAATTTATCAGGATAACTAAGAGACATCGGCCAATAAATAATCATGGTAATAAAAAGAAACGGCGGTAATATACTTTACACGCTGACGCCACATTCTGATTCCAGTTTGCAAACGCACATTTTTATCTATTTTGGCTTTAAAAAAGGAAGAGTGACCGGTGTTATTAATCGACACTTCAAAGCAATGGAGGAACCTGCACAAGAGAATAGAGGGGGACGGCAAACACAAAAATATGCACTAAAAAGAAAAGCTGTCAAAGACTTTATTAAAAAGCTTGTGCCCTTAGAAATATTTTACTGCAGAAGTAAAATAAAATGCAGACAATATTTATCATCGGAACTCAATATTAATAAACTTTACAAAATATTTACTGCAGAAACCTCTGAAGAACATAAAAACATTAAGCCGTCTTACTTCAGAGAAATTTTAGGACCAATTTTTTAACATAGGTTTTGGGTCTCCCCGAACTGATGTGTGCTCAACTTGCTTATGTTTACAAGAAAGAATGAAGCATGGGAAAACAATGAAGCAAAAAATACATTAATGATGCTGATGATCTCCAAATCTATACTCAGTCCTCTCTTGAAGATCTATCTAAAGCAGTTGACACTATTAACGCTGATCTGACTTGTATTTCTAATTGGAGTAAACGTTATGGTTTAACGATTAATCCTAAGAAAACTCAGGTCATTGTCATCGGTAGTTCTAGATTAATTGGTAAAATTGACTGGTCTTCCCTACCCCCTATTATACTAGACTGCACTCTAATCCCTTACAGTAACAAGGTTAAAAACTTGGGGTTGTATCTTGACTCCTGTATGTCTTGGACCTCACAGGTTAATGAGGTCAGTAGAAAAATGTTTGCTGCGTTAAGCTCTTTACGTAGATTACGTAATTTCCTTCCCACAACAACTATAGTTACGCTCGCCCAGTCTCTTCTTCTGCCTATCCTTGACTATGCTGATATTTGCTATCTTGACATTACCGAGGAGCAGCTGAATAAGCTTGAGCGCATTCAAAATGTATGCATTAGATTTATATTTGGGCTTCGGAAATATGATCATATCTCCGAATTTCGCAAACAGCTCAAATGGCTCCCGATCCGCCTTCGCAGGAATACTCACATTCTCTCCGCGTTGTATAGTGTGCTGTTTAATCCTTCTACTCCTCTTTATTTAAAAAACCGTTTCCAGTATCTTTCTCTTACCCATAATCGGTTCCTTCGATCCTCCATCAATCTTTCTCTCTCTACACCTTTGCACTCTTCTTCCTTTTTCAAGAAATCCTTCACCGTAACCGCTGTGCGATTGTGGAACTCCTTACCTCTCCGTATTCGTCGTGCTAAATCTCTTCACTCTTTCAAAATTCTTGTTAAATCGTATTATTTAGAACGCTATTAGATAAATTACTTTACCTTTCTCTTACTCTTTTCATTTAATCTATTATATGATATTTTATATATAACTTTCACTTACTTTTATTTAAATGTATTATTGTATTTTTTTTTATTATTATTTTGTATGCCCCCCTCTATTTGTAACTTTTGTTTGCATCATTCCTCTACGCAAAGGTTGTCTGGAAGAAATCACTTTCAGTGATAAGACCGCCTATTGTACATACTTTAATTAGTTTTAACTATATTGATGTTTCTGTATTGTGGTGTACAAAAAAGAATAAATAAATAAATAAATAATGATCGAGAGCAGAATACATAAATTGCGTGCCAAAGCCAATTATATCGTTTATTAAAAGACGACAGCGAGAACCTTTTGATTCTATCTTTTGACTGCCAAAAGAATCAACCTTGTCCAAAAGTTAAAATTTTAAAATTTTAGGTACTTTTTTTTGACAACGTAAATTGAGCCTCTCAAGATTCACCCTCAAAAAGTCTCCTCTTTTGAAATGCAGAATGCAAAGAACACTAAACTTTAATATTTGTTTTTGTAGTATGCAATACTTGAATCCATTTGCTTCTAGTTTCTTCGTCATTGGGAATTGTCATACGGGGAGGCCTATGTTCAGCAGTGGACTTGTGAAGGGCTTATTGATGATGATAATATGGGAAATCTGAAATAAACTTTTTTTTGTCAATTTATAAATAATAGAATTCATTTTATCTATTTTTAAAATTTAGAGACTGTGCTAACGTATAAAGTGGTAATTCATTAATATGTAAGAAGTTGTACATATAATGTCATAATGTACGGTCAACTCATTTATAAGTCAACGCAATACTCGTAACTTCATGTTACCATCTTTTTATCAATACAATTATTTTAACCATCGACAGTTTCTTTTATTACATTTAATTAGATTAGGTCATGCATAACACAAAACAGCAATTAAATTCGACTTAGTTGATAATTTATCAGACCTTTTCGCTCCTTGTTAGACATAGGCCTTCCTTATGTATGAACCACATGGAATGTCCACAAAGTTCATAATAACCGATTCACCCAAATTCCTCTAAAACCGAATTTTCTTACCTGTGACAAAATTTACCACAACCTCGGCACAGGCCTACACTTCAATAACAACACACTTTTAAACCATTATACTTATGTCACCGTTACAGATATCAATAAAATAATTTACTATGTTTTATTTAATCAAGCTTATGGCCTACCGAAGTCTGAAAAAAATTATCATACCGAATTTAAAACTCTAGTTGTTGTGGCAAATTGTTGAAGAAACTATTAAGTGTCTATTTATGCCACCATTACAGATATTAATAAATTAATTTATTATGTATTATGTAATCACGTTTAAGGCCTATTAGTCCGGTCAATCTAGACATTCGGTGATACATAATGTTACAACAAGCTGGTAATCGATAAAATTGTTCAGAATATAATTATAAATAAAAATTTGAAGTTCCATTTCCATTCCTGTGTATGGAAAAAAACTTACTCTAGGTGAAAGATAAAAAAATGAGTTATTCCACGATTTTCAGCAAAACACTAAGTTTTATCATAAAAATACTTCAGATAAAAATTATAGATCATAAAATTATCTGCAAAAAATATATCATTACGTTTTTTCCTACGAGCCACCGTTTCTGAGATATAACGATTCAAAAAGTTGTAAACGTCATAATATGTGCATATTTTCGTCGTTTCGTATCGTTTCCACGACACCTAGTAGGCCTATTAAACGAGTCAGTTTCGATCCTGTTTAATTTGTAACTATTGCAAAATAATAGAAATTAGCAAAGATTGGAAAAAATTAAAGTGATATAGCCACGCACACAATGGAGAAGATAACCATTTTTTGTTTTATATGCTAAAAAATTCTACAAAAAATTACGAGAATAACTATATTTTTAATTTTTTTCTACCTTCAAAACTGACCGAGATATAAAGGCGCAAAGTTAACATTTTCGGTCTAAGCCGCGGGCCGAGCGCGACATCGTTGATGACGTCACGATTTCCATCTTCGTGCGAGCGACACTACGCGCACTTAGAAAATCAAAACATTTACTCAAATGTGCCCGTCGCGCGCGGATCTATTTGCTATCTATTTTTAACAAAAAACATTATAGAACATGACACCATCGATTAAATATTGTGCTGTGCCTCAATGTAAAAATACGGCCACAAAAGCACATGAAAAGTTGTTTTTTAATGTGCCTAGAAACCCTACCATCAGAAAAAAATGGACAAATGCTATGAGAAGCGCACATCCTTTAGGACCAAACACGGTAGCATATTGTTGTGAGAATAATTTGGATGTACGTATTCAAATAATAATAACCTTCACATGATAGCTCTTGGTTATAGCTAGTAAATGCTTTCTATTAGGCATGTACCTACTCGAGTCGCAGTGTTTAAGTAACTAACGATTCATTGAACCTTTCCACGCTTAATGATTATAACAATTTCAAGAAGAAACAATACCTCATACATATTTAACTAAAACTACTTCAGTGTAAATAAACATCCAAACTTGGGTAAAGTACTTACCTATGTAATGTAGATAAGTCAATGACCTGTCGTGAGTTTGTAAGTTTAGATACCTATGTTTGCAACAAATTTTAAAATGTTTATAATGCATATAAAGGTTAAAATATGGAATATGTGAACAAACGTTTTTTCGAGCAAAAACTAAACATATCGCAGAGCTGTTCAACCTGCATACTTTGCTGGCCACAAATAATGGAAGAAGTTTGATTATGAAGTGGAGCACTTAAATTTTTTCGTGTTGTCGTAATTTTATATATTACATAGTTGGTACATATTTTAAATATTGATGGAATACAAATTACGAGGTTCCTTATTTTTTTATAGGCTTTAAATAAGTTTGTATTTTGTTTTAGGTCAAAAACGATATGGAAAACTACGTGAAGTACAAAACTAGTTGCTTGTCAAAATCGGTATACAGAAAAACCAAAAAGATGTTTACTATCAAAACTAAATGCCAAATCTAGGTCAGAAACCATGCGATATCCACTACTTCACAGGACATTGAGCATAGATATGTTGTCGATCCTGTTACTACTCTAGATGATAATATTGACATTGATCCCTTGCCTGAAGAATATATAACTACGCTTTTAATCATAATAATAATGCGACCCTTTTTCTATTAATATTGAAAACATCTAATTTTTAGATAAAATCATATTTCTATTTTTTATACACCGAAGGTGTATTTGTAGTACTTTATAAACAATAGGAAATTTTTTTAACCATAAAAACCACAAAAAGGTTAGGGTGCACTTAAGAAGAATAAGAAAACAAAACTAGTTAGAGCCAGATAGTAAGTACCTAGGTAGGTAAGGAATGTTTACGTATTTTTGTTATACCTATTCCTATCATTAGCAAATGAAACCCAGAAGTATTAATGTAATAATGGGTACCTAGATTATAAAAATATTATCTTATGCGTATTTCAGCCGCGACAAAATCTTTGTTTCTTAGAAAATATTCCGCCACCATCATGTTACGGACTATTGGAAGGTTGTCAGATTGACCCTTTTGAAACCCTTCTTCCATCATTAAATACTTAAAAACACC